TTCTCATTTTGGAATTTCAAATCTCACTACTGCAAAAACCTCTAGTTTGAAAGTATTTACATTTTCTGATTTCGAAAAAAAGGCATTTAATAATCTGAAAAGTGTAAAGAAAATGTACAAAAACTAGCTTTTAAAACCTTCAATACCATTTTCTTTTTAAAAAAACATAAAATTTTCGCTCAAAAAGAAGGCATTTTATACAAACACAGTCTACTATACGACATTGGGCTAAAAAGATATAGTGATGAAAAAATTAGAATTTGTATTTTGGTAAAAGCTCTATTACTTTATAAAAATTTATTTTGAAGGAATAAGAAGAGCTTTATGTTCATTCTGATGTTACCCTAGTAAGTATATAAAGACTGTTTGAAGTTAGGTTTTACGATAAAGAAATAAATTGCCAGAATATTATCTTCTGCTTCTTAAAACTGGAGGATCTGACAACCATCTAGACCAATTAACCAAGAGTATGGTAGCCAAGAAGTGTACAAAGGGCGGGCAGTAGTTTGGGGGGGGGCTCCCCCTTTAACCCCCCACAAGAAATCTGGAATCAAACGGGAATATTGTTCATCTTATATTGTTCATTAAACTTGCTCTTGTACCACTTCAAAGTTTAAATAGGGGGGTGAGGGGGGGGGCAGTCTTTTTTCTAAAATTCATTTTTCTCTAAGCTGCTGTTATAAGTTCTTGTTTCTGTTAAAATACCATTTAAAAATGCATCTAAGTCCAATATCAGAAATAAACCTGCGTTGTATTTTCAGAGTTTTAAGTCGTCTTTATAGTATCCTCATTTGTAGGTGAGCCTGTATTATACAATACACAATGAGTTAACAACTTAGTAAAGTTTAAAATCTAAAAAATGCTTTATGAAGGTCTTTAAAGAAAAAGAAGATGTAATTTAAAGTGAACCCACATTTCAAGGTTGTCCATTGTCCAATACACCACAAAATCCTGAAAACCTTTATCTGAGGAGCCATGTTCCTCTCTTAAAATATGTTGAATGTTGTCAATTTTATTATTTTCCTCGCAAACATTACTATAAAAATCATTGTTTCTAAGAAACCACAGAAAAACAGTCCCTTGAAATACAATTATATTCTATTATAATTAGAATTATCAGAAACTTTTCAGAAATATTTCCATTTTGTAAAAACCTAGAAGTGACAAACACAAGTACTCAAGTTTCCAGCAATCAATCGTTTGCAATATCTGGAAAGGGAATTCCATTTTCCAATTTTTACATTATTCTGGGACACCCTTGATACAACCTTGCTCCTGAGTGGTTTGACATTGCTTACTATTCCCTATTATTTCTAAAAATTTATTTCAAATTGACATAAAATAAAAAGTAGCATCTTTAATAAGAAAATAGACAAACATCTTATGTATGGTTTATTTCTCATTATGTTAACCATTAGTCCGAGCGATTTTAAAAATTTGGGAAAATAAAACTCAGATGAGGCTGTCATTGAGACCAATTTAAGACTCAAGCTAGCTTTGGGTTATAAGTTGGAAATAGCTAATTTTTCACCAAGTCGGGTATAATAAACCAGTTTAATATTGTATTTGGAGGATTTCAAAGGTTGGATTCTGGGATTTGAATTGAAAAAGACTCAAAATTGATACTAATTCTTCACTAAAACCAACCAAGGTAAGCTTAAGTCGAGTCTAAGAGCTGGCAGCTTTCAATCACGTGACACAGACTGTCGTCCAGTCGATTAAAAAGTTGGGTCTAAGATTGAGCCTTAAAGAGAGTGACCGGCAATGTATGGTGATTGAACTGAATATGTAGTATTGTGGACAAAGTTTTAGCGCAAAGTCGACGCTTAAAGTCATGAATTTGGGTAAGTACGTTTTCAGAATCGGTTTTTTGAATTATTAAATAACGACGACAAAAAATGTTAACAAAATTCTACATTAAATTAGTTGTTAAGGAACAGGTTGAGACAATCTTATCTTCGAAAATAAGTCATTTTATTCAATTATTAGTTTCTATAATCTCTCATTATTCACTACGGTTTCTTGCAGATTTTCTGGAATTTATATTGAAAAGACGACATTTGAAGAATTTGTAGAAATCTGCGAACAAATTCATAGAAAATAAGAAATTCATCATATAAAACCAAAATAATTGATTCTAACATAGATTTATTGACAAATTTTTTTGTTAAACATGTTCCTAAACATCTAATTAGTGTACTGTATATGATACTCTATCTAATTTTTTGTTTCTAACTCTTTTTTTGGCCAAAAAGAATCCAAAAAACCCTAAAAAAAAATAATATACCGTCGTAGATTTTTATCTTCTTTTAAATGTTTTTAACTGATAATTAATTTTATTGATTGCATTAAAAAAAATATTTTGTGATTTGATTTAAAAAATGTTTTTATCAAGGTAAAAACTTCAGGTTACTTAGTTGAAAAAAATATATAATTTTGTTTTTATTTGTATGACAAATGAAGTCCTATTGGCGATAAAAACACCGACTAAAAAATACAAAACAGTTTGATTGAACTTTACGATCTTATGTTAACTATTTTTGGGGCATTTCGAGCCCATCTTCTATTTTAACTTTTTATAGTTTCTCAATCTTTCAGCATTTTATCTTCGATAAAACCAAAATTTAAAAAATCTTTCTTGGATTTTTAGAATCAAATATTTTTGGAGACAACTTTTTGTTATTCTAAGCGTGTAAGTGCCCACACAAAATTTGGGCCCGACGTTTATTGGACACGCAAACAAACAAACAAACAAACAAACAACAGGACACCCAGGCAAGCAATGTATAATGTATATTTATAGATAATCGTAAAAACTGTTCTCATCTTATTTGGTTCTCACTGAAAGTTTACCATCGACACTAGTTTAAAAGTTTTGATTGCTTTTGTCAAAATGTTGACAAATTGCTAGAGCTATATTTTCTAACATGAAGGTTTATACAAATTTTTATACATAAAGGGAGAGAACCATCGCATTGTTAGCCAACATTTTTAAGGATATTTGTATGCATCTGTTTCAATTTTATAAATAATCTGTATAAACTATGTTAAAGATTAAATAGTCTCAGAAATATTAAAAGTTTGCACCGTCAGGTTTCAAAGATATAGGGATTTAGAAAATTTGAATTTGCGGCAAAAATTCCTTTGTTATCTAAAAACTTCATATATCTAATCATATCATGTCCTCTCAAAAACAATTATTTGGTTAGCTCCCACAAATTGTCAAAAAGAAAATTCAAAAAAAAAGAAAGGCAGAAAACTAAGATTGTATTTAAAATACAATTAGAATAGCGCTGATATTTGCGATTTAAAATATAACTTTTAAAAGAGGGTTTAAAATGACTGTAAGCCTAAATTAAAGTGAGCCTCCATGCAAAAATTACAATGGCCGATTAACAACGGTTTCACCTTCACCTGATAAAATATCGTTTTTCAGACTTTTCTTATAAGCAAGAAATGTGCAAGCTACTTTCGTGCGTAGAGGAAACCGCAAATGAAAATAAACAGTTTAAAGGAACAAAAACATGCATATCTTAGTCATGTTTGATCAGACTAGGGTACTGCTTTAAATCGGGCCTGGCCATCCAAAGCATGAAGAGTCGCTAAAAAACACGCTTACAGTCCCTTTAATGTATTTAACAGTTACAAAAATTATAAAAAATTATTTTCCTCAGTTCAGTTTACTATGGTTCGGTCAGTTATTTATTAATGCTTAGAACCTGGGACATCTGAGAGGCTTGAGAACTATTTCTTCTCCCGTTCTGTCTTCCAACTATAATAAATATTAGACATTTTAAAAACAGCTGGACACTTGATAAATATACGAATACAATTAATAATAAAAGAAGAAGAAGAAGAAAAAGAAGAAGAAGAATAATAATAATGATAATGATCTTAATAACACTACCAATAATAAATTATAACAAAAGATGATAAATAATAATATTTGCAATAAAATGGCGTTGAGTTATGTAGACTTTGTTCAGCCCTGAATTTGATTTGAAAATATAAAAAATTGACCTGATGATTTCTGAATATTATTAGTAAGGAAGTCTGCCTCTATATCATATCCTTGAGGCGGTGGAAGAAGAGGAACAGCAACACTATGACGTCGGCCCAGGGTATCTGTTCGAGTTCGAGTCAGGATCAGCAAACACTTCTTCTTCGCTTTGGGCTATCAAATAACGATTTTAAAGGGACTGTAAGTTTAATTTCAAGTGACCCTCCATGCAAATATGACAATGTCCGATTCACAGGAATGAGGAAGATACCGTCGTTTTTCTTACTCAAAAAGTGTTTTTCTTTCTGTAAGCTTCTCTTTTTTACAACGAAACCGAAAATAAAACCGAAAATGCACTGTTTAAAGAAACAAAAACATGCATATCTGTCAACCATTAACTATGATCAGTGTAAAGTCGTCTTTAACTTAGACCCCCCCTCTCGGAGACACTAAAATCCAAACCAAATAATTTTAGCCTCCGGTTCCTTTGTTCTCCCTATCGGAGTGTAAATAACCTAAAGCATTGTGAATCCATCCATTTTCAAAAGTTAAACAAAGAATATTTTCATATAAAGAATTAGTGACTTTCGTTAATAATTAATTGTCATTCTTTTCAGAAGTTTAAAAACGTCTTAGGACTGTCCAACTACTTAACCCTTTGATATCACAAAATAGATCGTAAGAATCTTTTCATTATAAACATTCATTGTAACAGTTTTATATGTTATTATCTATATAATTTTTTCAGGAAATAAAGAGAATTTCTTCCTTATCGGTTTTGATTTGAGGGTTATACTGTTGTTTATCTGTTCAACTTGAGAATCTTGTTTCTATCCGACAACAATATCTTATCCATACAAAGTTGCTAAAGGTACTGTTGTATATCGGACATTGCCGCATCTTTCCATGTAGGGTCACTAAAACTAAGTTGAATCTATGCTGAATCTATAGTTGTATTCAACTTTAAAATAACCTCTTATAGTCGGATTGCAAAATGAAATTATTTAACCTTAGCTTCATTTTTACATTTAAGTTCAATTTTAAATTTCAATAAGTTTTACAAAATTCTGAAAAAGTTGTATCGTATAATATATTATATATTTGGTTTAATTGTATCCAAGAGAAACGCCAAAAAGGGTGAACGGATCGTCGAGCCCAATTTTTTGTGGCATCTCACCAAATGATTTTAATAATTATTGTCGATTTGATTTTTAATTTGAAACTCATCAATGCTAACAAAAAATCCTTGAAACTGTTGATTACCTTAGAATGTAGTTCTGGGAACGCATGATCTGCTAAACTCTCTCTCCGGTTACTGGGTCGATTAGAGATTATTGTAATATGCTGCTCATACAAACTTCGATCTGTAGCGCCTGCAATGGGCAATATTCAAACCGTGATATATAAAAAGAAATATTGCACTGCAGGTTTGAAAATCTAGTATTTAAAGGAACTGTAAGAGTAAATTTAATTGGCACTCCATGCTGATTTATAACGGTACCCTTAAAACCTAAATTTTACAAAAAATGTTGAAGTTACCATCGTTTTCCTGAATAGTGTTTATTTCTGTTAGTTTTTCCATTGGTTCTGATAAGCAAGAAAGGCATAAGTAGTTATATCTAATTCATACTTGATCAGACAAAGCTTTCCAGTATATCGATGTAAATCTGGCATTGACATCTTTACAAGGAGGGTCACTTAAAATAAGCCTACAGTTCCTTTCACTTTTTCTAAATAAAGTCCTTTTTTACAAATATATTTAGCTTCAATGATTTCAATGTTCTCTTCATTAAAGAAGTTTTGTAATTTAATAATAATGTTTCAGAAGAAAATAAATGCTCATTATAGTGACTATAATGAGTGGTTACTAACCTTCCCCGAATAGTCTCTCATGTTCTTGACTGTTGCTAGGACTAACTGATCTAACATTGATATCCTGCAAAAATATGATACGATAAGAGGTACAATTTTTCCATTTAAAAGATGAAAAAAGGTGTTTGCATATTGTTTGCATAATGTTTGAATCCTATAAACGTGAAAACTCTGAACTGATCGAACCCAAAAAATCTTTTAGTTTCACGATAAATGATGTAAAATGGTGGCAAGGAACATTCCAGTTCAGCATGTGATAGGTCACGTACCATCAGTTGCTTCCTTTAGGGGATGTGTTTTTACAGATATGTTCTTGTAAAAAAATGTTTTCCATTTTTATTCTAAACATTTGTTTTTTTTACATTATGTAAAATTTTGACGCTGACAGAAGATATATGCAAAAATGAAATTTTTGTTTACGATTAAACGGTTTACACCACTATACATAATTATTAGAATGGGTGGAGATGCGCACTTAAAATCTAAAAATAAGTAAAGGCACCTTATTTAAAGGAAGAGTAACACTAGAGAGAATAGACATTTTCCGCAGTTGATCAGGAGAGAGAGGGTCTCCAGCTTTATACACAGTACATTCACCATTCTCAGATAGATCTAGGAATAATCAAGATTATTTGAGTCAATTAATTAATGTACGCATAATTTCATGTAAACCTTCACGTAAAGATGGCAATTCTTGATTTACAACGTTAACCTTGAAATCTTTATCAGATAAAAAATATGGGAAATATTTTCGTTGCTCGGGGTTTGAAGATGTTTATTTCAGATAATTCCCATATTTGTTCTGTTATTAGTAGAAATGGACAAGTCACTTTTGTAGAGAAAAAACAAACAGTTTTAAACATTTTAAATAAGAGAACAAGAAAATAGAAAATAAAAGAAAACAAGAAAACAAGAGAAGAAGAGAAGAAGAGAAGAAGATAAACAATGAGAGAATAAGAAATTAAGAAAATGAGAAAATAAAAATATATGAAAATAAGAGAATAAGATAATAAGAGAATAAGCTAATAACATAATAAGAAAGTACGAGAATAAGAAAATAAGAGAATAAGTGAATAAGAAAATAAGAAAATAAGAGAATAAGAAAAAAATAACATAATAAGGAAATAAGCGAATAAGAGAATAAGATAATAACAGAATAAGAAAATAAGAGAATAAGAAATAAGAGAAGAAGAGAATAAGAGAATAAGAAAACAAAAAAATAAGAAAATAAGAAAATAAGAGAATAAGAGAATATGAGAATAAGAGAATAGGAGAATAAGAGAATATGAGAATAAGAAAATAAGAGAATAAAAGAATAAGAGAATAAGAAAATAAAAAATAAAAGAATAACAAAATAAGAGAATAAGGAAATAAAAATAATATAATAAGAAAATAAGCGAATAAGAGAATAAGATAATAAGAGAATAAGAGAATAAGAGAATAAGAGAATAAGAGAATAAGAGAATAAGAGAATAAGAGAATAAGAGAATAAGCGAATAAGAAAATAAGAGAATAAGAAAGTAAGAAAATAAGAAAATAAGAGAATAAGAGAATAAGCGAATAAGAGAATAAGAGAATAAGAGAATAAGAGAATAAGAGAATAAGAGAATAAGAGAATAAGAGAATAAGATAATAAGAAAATTAGAAAAATAAGAGAATAAAAGAATAAGAAAGTTAGAAAATAAGAAAAAAAGAAAATAAGAAAAATAAGAGAATAAGAAAATAAGAAAATAAGAAAAATAAGAGAATAAAAGAATAAGAAAGTTAGAAAATAAGAAAATAAGAAAAATAAGAGAATAAAAGAATAAGAAAGTAAGAAAATAAGAAAATAAGAAATAAGAAAAATAAGAGAATAAGTGAAAAAGTACATTAATGAGAGAATTGCGGGTTTGATAATGGGTTTAGGAAGAAGGATAGATGGCTGGAACCCAGAAAGGATGAATCAATAAAATATTTTATAGGTTTCAGAGTGTTCCAAGAAACAGATTCATCAACTCAAACATAAATGTTTAAATTACTATTTTTTTAAGTCAAAATTTTTCTTTTAGTGACCCTTCTTTCAAAATCATTAACGTGGTTGTTTAATTCAAACGTTGTGAATCGGACTTTTCCATCTTGGCATAGAGGGTCAGTTGAAATTACGCTATATTGAACGTTTGGGAAGTTTCCATTTGGGAGATTGTCACAATTGGGAATTCGCATATATAATTCTTTGCTCATATATATATATATATATTTGTAAATAAAGAATTTTCTACCTTTGCCGTCAATAACAATTGTAGGAGGAATACTTGCGTCTCCGTAGCCCCTGGAATAAAAATAAATAAAGTTTTATGATTTCATGTGTTAAATAAATATGGTTTTATGATTTCAAGTGTAATATAAATATGGTTTTATGATTTCACGTGTTAAATAAATATGGTTTTATGATTTCAAGTGTAAAATAAATATGGGTTTTTGATTTCATGTGTTAAATAAATATGGTTTTATGATTTCATGTGTAAAATAAATATGGTTTTATGATTTCATGTGGTAAATAAATATGGTTTTATGATTTCATGTGTAAAATAAATATGGTTTATGATTGGTGGTACGTCTTCCTATTCCTGAGTTTTCTGGTTCTCACTGTACTAACAAATGAAATGGTTTACAATGATTCATTTTTTTTTGATTAATTGATTGATTAATGTAATGGTTTGGTTAATGAACAGTTCTCATATTTAATGAATAATTTCTAAAGGAAACTTGTATTACCGAGTAAATGAAGTTTGAGCACAAGCGGGAGATAAATGAAGATCAGATGATAAAAAACAATGGCGTCCCATCTTATACTTTTATGCTCAAATCCGGGAACTCAATTAAATACGAAAATTAATTGAATTGAAATTGATATTTGATCAGAGACGAAATTTCAAATAGAAACGATATGCAAAGAGGTTTTGATTCAAAGACGACATTTTATGCAAAATTAAGTTCAAAATTATTCTCATGGTATATGTAAGTTCATAAATTCTAATGAATATTTAAACTAAGGAAAACTTAGCATAAAATCAAGTGTGTTCCTGGAAAATCTAGAAAATTCTATATAAAAATCAAATGTGAAAATTTATATTCTGCCACTGCACTTCTAGAAATTAAATATTAATATTACATAAATATTAAGCAGCTTACAAACAAAGTTTTAACTCATAAAAAGTCTGACATTCCAGATCATTCAGAGTATAAAGGGTACCGTTGTGAGTCGAGGGTGCTATCGATATTTATTAGAAATAAGATAAAGTGTCTTCAGGGTTATTCAATGAAACATGACGGTTGAGAAACGAATAAAAGACCGTCTCTGATATTTGGAATATTTTGAGGAATTTATTTGTCAATTTAGACAATATCATTATTATTAAGATTTATCTTCACACACAAACATAAATCAATATGATATGGTGAAGATACTTAAAACAATTTTTTAAATAATTCAAATTCAAAGAATTTTTCATGTTCATTCTCTAATTTCATAAACATAAATATGCCGCTTCAAAGTAATCTAGCTAGCTTTTTTAGATTATCAAAACAGTATAATATAATATTTTAGTAAAAATTAAAATGTATAAATATGGGCTTTATTTTGAAGACTAGAATCAGAACGAAACTCTTTATATCTCTGATAATTGAAGCAAAAAAGGTAGACCACAATTTGGAAATGCCAGGACTACAGGAATTTTTATTATAGTAAAAGTAGGCTGACATATGTAGGTTGCAAATTATGTCAAACCTCAAGATTTTCATGTTGCGTGGGACACAATGTATGAAACATATTTAAAGGTGAATCCACAGTTTTCTAAACCTTACATCTTTTCAATCCGATGTCGAAAATCTTTGTGAATTCAAACTATGCAATTTGTTAGCTCAAATAGTTAAAGTTTTAAATATGATGGACCTTCAACAATAGATTTTAAAGATATTGTGATTAGAGTATTCTAAAATCCAGATAAAGTGTGTATAGTTCCTTCCATGTTCCTTCTTTTAATCTATCAGGTTTCCGTCCTTAGAGGATTTTAACCAGGATTGGAAAACATCGTGAATTCCTATTTTTGGTGTTGAGTATACATTGCTAATCTCTTTTACCAAAAATATTATAAACCTTGGCTAGTAGGCGCCTTTGAGTGTTAAAAAAACATATAATTCGTCTGCACAAAACCTGCTCTCTAGTTCTAATCTAATTCGTCTTCATAAAACCTGCTCTCTAGTTTTTATTCTAATTCGTCTGGAAAAACCTGCTTTCTAGTTCTAATCTAATTCGTCTTCACAAAACCTGCTCTCTAGTTCTAATCTAATTCAATAAAACCTACTCTCTAGTTCTAATCTAATTCGTCTTCACAAAACCTGCTCTCTAGTTTTAATCTAATTCGTCTGCAAAAAAACCTGATCTCTAGTTTTAATCTAATTCGTCTGCACAAAACCTGATCTCTAGTTCTAATCTAATTCGTCTGCACAAAACCTGATCTCTAGTTCTAATCTTATTCGTCTGCAAAAAAAACTGCTCTCTAGTTCTAATCTCATTCGTCTGCAAAAAAACTGCTCTCTAGTTCTAATCTAATTCGGCTGCACAAAACCTGCTCTTTAGTTCTAATCTAATTCGTATGCACAAATCTCCTCTCTAATTCTAATCTAATTCGTCACCTATAAAAATGCTCTCTAGTTTTAATCTAATTCATCTGCACAAAACCTGCTCTCTAGTTCTAATCTAACTCGTCTGCACAAAACCTGCTCTCTAGTTTTAATCTAATTCGTCTGCACAAAACCTGCTCTCTAGTTCTAATCTAATTCGACTGCACAAAACCTGCTCTCTAGTTCTAATCTAATTCGACTGCACAAAACCTGCTCTCTAGTTCTAATCAAATAATCAATCACAAGACCTCTAATTAAAAAGCTATCAGAAGAACAAAAATGTTTTGGATTTCTAATACGAAACCAAATAAATTTGTTCTCTCATATAAACTAACCTAGAAGGTCGCCATCTTGCTTTAGAGAACAGCTTTGCTACAAAAACAAGAAGGAATGCAAGGATTACTAAACCTTAAAAGATATAATAAATGTTAGATCAGTATGCAGTATACACCAATATTAAAGGTCTAACAATGGAATTTTTAAAGTTAGAATAGACGAGGGCCGAAGATTTGGAGCAAAGCACTCAAAGTAAATGAATTTGCCTATTCTAAATTTCAAGTACAAAATATATACAAAAGAAACGAGCAAATGAAAACGTGTCGCTTTAGAAGTCAAAGGAATTGAGTCTTTGGAACCAAATTAAATATTTAAACCTCAATATCTTTAGAACCCAATGTTGTAAACCTTTGATAATTCAAACTCAGATTATTTGATCTAACAAAATTCATAGTTTGAAATATCTAAGTTCTGCAACATTTGGTTCCAAAGATTTAGTGATTATAAAATCAGAGTTTGTGGCAAAAACTCAATTTCTTTACTCTGATAGTGCGGTAATCTATGTCCCTTTTTAAAATATTTTTTATTTCAAAATTAACCCCACCTTGGTCTAACTTTTGTACTTACGCTATTTTATGTAGTACATTTTTAAACATAAGACAAATTTAAATTACCTATAGCTAGCCCTGTCACTGCTGGGACTGTATCTGTGTTAATGGTAGCCAAGGAATCTAAAATACACATAATTTAAGAAACCAAAAAAAAAATTGTTGGCCAAAGTTGAATGAAAAATATTAAAAAATTATTGAAATTTTCGTTTTTCTCGCTAGCAAAATGTTCATGATGGTAAAATAACTAAATTAGTGTTAAAAAGATTTACACGTTTTTTTACTGTAAACCTACTCGGTTCAAGCTGTCTGCAAACATTGATATAAACCTTATATTTCATACATCAAAACCCCTGCGTATACTGTGGAATGAGAAAAAGACTGTTAGACAGAAAATATGATTTTAAATAATCCAGAACATGAGATACAGCAATTTTTCAATGTAAACAAACTTATTATCTGATAAATGATTTGATAAGTTAGAACAGTTTTCTTTGTAACAGCGCAAAATACACATTAAATAACTATAATGTCGTCTTACTATTTCACAGTTTTCAGGTTCTAACTGTACTATGTATACATATAAAAAGAACTTTCTAAACCTCTAAACCATAACTAAACTAAATCTATGACCCTTAACTTAAACTAAACTTATAAACCTTTACTAAATCTAAACCTATAAATTTTTACTAAATCTAAACCTTTATATCTTTACTAAATCTAAACCTATAAACCTTCACTAAATCTATATCTTTAAATTTTTACTAAATCTAAACCTTTATATCTTTACTAAATCTAAGCCTATAAACCTTCACTAAATCTAAACCTTTAACCTTTACTATATCATTTACTAAATCTAAACCTATAAATGTTTACTAAATCTAAACCTATAAACCTTTACTAAATCTAAACCTATAAACCTTTACTAAATCCAAACCTATAAATGTTTACTATATCTAACCTATTCTGAAACATAAAAGAAAAATGCATTATAAATAAATATGCTTAATAATGCAGACAAGACTTATATTGGACCCATTTCCGTCTATCTACATAAACAATGTAAATATTATGCATGCTTTACTACAGGAAAGGGGTCTTCAATTCTTCTATAAGAGTACGGATGTTATGTGTTGGGGGGGGGGGGGGTAGATTCAGGTGGTAAATATACAGGAATAGAATAGTTTGGGGAAAGAGATCAGTTTCCCCCCCTCGGGTTTTATATTATAGGATATAGCTGCTTGTAAATCAAAACAGACCAATATTAAATTCTTGAATATGGATGAAAAAAATATCATGGTGGAAAGGGAATAATTTGAAATGGAATTGTTAATATTTTCAATAAAATAATGGATTCATTCCAACTGATAATCTCCTTTGTCTTGCATTTGCCCATCCGTATCATTATACAGGGTGTCCCACGAAACTTGACAGTTGAAAGAAGGTCTTTGATCTTTGTAATAATTTGCCGCATTTTATTCGTAAACCTACTTTTACATGTATAATTCTTGAAACAATAATTACAAAATACCCATGGTCTTGGAATTTCCAAAATGTGGTCTGCCTTTTAGTGCTTCCAATACTACAGGAGATACGTAGAATTTTCTTCAGATTTTGACAATTTTGGTTTTTGTTCAATAAACGGAAATGCGAGTATTAGGGTTAATTTAGTGCTTATTAACTCTAGAGTACACTTGTAATTCAAGTCGTCTTGATACTATCATGTTTCGTGGGACACCCTGTATTGTTGTCCAATATTCCTAATAGCTACACGAGTATGACTTTTTCTCATTTTCTCTTAAGTATCTTAAACATGCCTCAAAATAGCTTTCTACTGAAAGAAAATATCCAGAGTAGACCAAATACCACCTCCAGCGTACTATACATAATTCCTAATATTGTAATTATTATTGGTTTATTGGTCTATTGTATTCTACTTGTATCGATAAAATACCCAAAGTAGACCAAATACCACCTCCAGCGTACTATACATAATTCCTAATATTGTAATTATTATTGGTTTATTGGTCTATTGTATTCTACTTGTATCGATAAAATACCCAAAGTAGACCAAATACCACCTCCAGCGTACTATACATAATTCCTAATATTGTAATTATTATTGGTTTATTGGTCTATCCTATTCTACTTGTATCGATAAAAACAACCTTTAAGACCTTAAGAACCTCTCTCAATATAAAACAGAAACCAGATTTTGAAACAAAAGATGAATAGAATTAAGTGTTAGGATTGAGATACAACATAATGATATGATGTCAGCTAGATCATTTTAATTATCTAGACAAATTTATGTTCAAACCTAGATACGTACATTAGATAATTAGATAATTTAACTACGTATTCAAAAATATTTTAGAAATATTTAATAATTGGTTTACTACGTTGCATAGTTACTACTTTGTTTAAAAACCCCGAAGCATTTTAAACTAAATTTAAAATAGACGTTGGGGGGNGGGGGGGAACCAAATTATGAAACAAAGCTGAAAACTTTGTCCCATCTTTGTGTGGAAGAATAACGAGCTTCAAGGTCTTTCTTTCAGTTTCAAGGTTTCCTTTTTATCTTTTTCCTCGTCAGTTTTTACTAGAATGTTTTCCACTGTTTTTATTTATATTACTCTCACTCGTTGACATCTTTTTGCTTAAAAATAATAATAGGAGTTGATACTTGAAACATATATTAGTTCTGCTGTTAACACACGTCACTGCAAACCAAGATGTTCAGGCTCTAGAGCAAAAATCAGCAGTATTTTGCCAATTACTCTTCTTGTAAACTTGAGCTAATAACAATTGAATTTAAAAATGTATATAACTAGGGCTGCAAATAGGTTAAGTAAGTTTGTGAGGGAAACCAAAGGACAAGGCGTTGCGACACTTTAAAGTCGAGGCTGTCTAAAATTTGATGACTAACTTTCTTTATTTCATTCATGTAAGCTCGATTGAAAGCGTAATTTCCGAAAAACTAGATAGAAGGAGAAGGTAGAATTTTTTATGCTTAAAGGGAGTGTTCGCGAAAAATGAAAGGGGGTATTGGCTTATTGCGATAAAAAGCGCGTTTGATCGCTACTAATCTTTCTTCTATCTGTTGCGTGTATAAGGAGAAAATTGTTAAAAACGACTAATACCGAAGAACGAAGTGTCCATACAAATTCAGAAAGATGCAACATCGTAAACAAATCATTTTAATTCCAAACAAATCATTCCGATATTACAAACAATTGTCATCGATTATTTTTCGATGCATTCGTAAATAGTTGATATTTCATAATATTTTGTATTTTTCATGATCTGAGAGTTACTTTTGAAAACATTTATTCCTGTTTCGAGGATGTTTGATAATGAAGACGACATCTTCATATTTTCCTGGAATGTTCGAAAATCCATTGCCAGCGAAAATCATTCAAAAAAAAATTAAAAATATTATGAAATATTAACTTTATACGAATGCGTCGAAAAATAATCGAAGATTACTGTTTGTAATATCTGAATGATTTGTTTGGAATTAAATTGATTTGTTTACGAACCGAGTTGAATGTTGCATCTTTCCGAATTTGTATGGACACTACGTTCTTCGGTATTAGTCGTTTTTAACAAGAAAAGGAATTCATTACTCAAGCCTTTAACACACATCTTCTAATTCAACTTTTTATTGTGGCTTTATCTGTGAGCATCCTCTCTTTGTACAGTATAAAACAAAAACAAACAAAAAAGTTTGCAGATTTCATAATATTTTCTCGCACATTTTCAAGAATTTGCAAAAATAATAAATTTTTAAACACCAATTTTTCAAATTTTGATCATAAACCTTCCCTGGGGTCACGCGAGATCCCACAAAAAAATCGGGCCCGATTGGTTCAGCCGTTTTGATGTTTATTGGATACAAACAGACAGACAAGTCAAAAGTATATATAGATTTGTTAGAAAATACAACTTAATTTTTCCTTGAGAGTGTGCACATTTTTGTTTGCAGTGAATGGGGTCTTAATTATTTTGCGATTACAGAACGTTTTGATGTTTTGATATCTAAATTATCTTAATCTTAATATCTTAATTATTTTGCTATATTTTTAATTCTTGCGATTACAGAACGTTTTGATATCTAAATTGTATCCGAAATTTTTATATTTGAAAATAAGATTTTTAGTGGTAAATATGAAAAGAGAGAAAATCTACAGAACAATAATTACGTTATTAGAATTGGATTTAACATTTTAATGGTTTCATGCACTCTGCAGCATATAGGTATTTACAGCTATATTCTTTATATATAAATATATCTAAAACCTCGGATTGCTTTTCCATTTTACATAAATATAAAAACATAAATTTAAATAATTAGATGACTAAATTTTTTCCCAAACGCAGACATCGAGCAAAGTTTTTAATCTCCAAAGTCAAGACATGATCAAGCATTTGATAAATGAATTGAGTCTTTGCCACAAACTTCGATTTCTAATCGTTATATCTTTGCAACCAAGTGTCGTAGACCTTAAACATTTTAAACTTTGAATCCTGTTAGATCAAGTAATCTAATTTCTAAAAAAAAATGTGTACACAATCAGGTTGCTAAGATATAGGATTAGAATGTTTGAGTTAGTTGCAAAGACTCCATTCCTATTTATTTGTATTTTTTGTATTTTAATATATTTTATATTCTGTATGAATCCATCCATTCATTCTAATCTATCATCTAGGATTAGTCCTTATACCATCCTCACAGTCTTTATTTACTTTTACTGCACCATTATATTTAGATATTTATATATTTACACTATTATTATTATTATAACTATTATTATTATAAATATCATTAAATTATGTATCAAAATGTAAAATTACTTTTCAGATGGTTTTCCCTATAAACACTGACTGTGAACAATTTATTTCAATTTTAGAAGAAAAATTATTCAAGTTAATTTAATCATGCATACCAAATTAGTTAGTGATAAATTTTGAGTTTTTTAAATTTTTGCATCATGGTGGTGTAAGTTAAACTTTAACTGTTTATATATATATATATATATTATATGTGAACTAGAAAAAAAACTTGAACAGTTAAGTTTACGCATGAAATAAGAAAAAAGGACCAAAAGTATTTACGCAGAAATAATTTTAATTAAAGGCAAATGTTGCCACAGTTATGTGACAAAGCCTCCGCCGTGTCAGACCAAAGACTGTATGGATGGCAAAGTATAATCTCTCCCTAGAGATAGGCATTGTTTTAGTGAACGAACGAAATTTTTCATGAACGATAAATTCGTTCAGAAAAGTTTATAAACGCTGAACGAACAAATCGGATCGTTCAAAGAGATTTAAAAAACTACCGTTTTTCAAAAACAAACAAAAATACAAAAACAAATAATTTTTTCGCACGAGCTTTTAAATGAATTGAACGATTTTACCTAACCAATGATATACCGAATGAACTATTTAATTAAACGATCGGACGGTTAGAAATTGGATGGAAAATTAACGATAATTCTGAAAACGAACGAATTCAAATTTTTTATAAGGACTGAAAAAAACGAACAAAATTGGTTGTTAACGAACGATGAACGAATGAATTACATAAAACATCTCGATCTCTGTGTATAGAAACTGAACACAAGTAAATTAGAGTAATTTGCCACGGAAGAATGATCCCATTCTTAATTACATTCAATTGTTTGACTACAACTTATCTTCCAACTATTATGGCCAGTAGATTAATTATACTATTTAACATGATGACAGCTTTGGGACATTTCATAGACAGAACATCTCATCATAGGACAAAACATAGCAAGGACATTTAATTTTATAGAAAGGACACTGGGAGGGGTATAGGCTTACATAGCTACTAATCTTGATTCTATCTGTTGCGTGTATAAGGAGAAAATTGTAAAAAACGACTTATATTGAAGAACGTAGCGTCCATACAAATTCAGAAAGTTACAACATTCAACTTGGATCTAAACAAATCAATTTAATTCCAAACAAACCATACAACCTATAATCATTGATAATTTTGCGACGCATTCCTATATATAGTCGATATTTCATATATATCATAATATTTTTTACTCGTTTCATATACCATATTTTTTAAAGGACGTTTATTTGGCCGTTAGGTGACTCTGCTCTCGAGATTATGGAGTTCCACCTGGAAGAGACTCCAACGACACCTAGCGACAAAAACAATCTTCGTTTAAAGTACATCGTGTATGAAACAAGTAAAAAATATTATGAAATATTAACTTAAAACGAATGCGTGAAGATTTATCGATGATTATAGGTTGTAATATCTGAATGATTTGCTTGGAATTATATTGATTTTTTACAATCCGAGTCGAATGCTGCAACTTTCTGAATTTTTATTGAAGCTATGATCTTCAGTGCGAGTCGTTTTAACAATTTTTTCCATATAGACCCAGAAGATAGAAGTAAGATTAGTAGCGATCACACCTTTCATTTTTTGTGAACACTCCCTTTAATATATAGGACATTTTGAATGTAGTAAATTTTATAGATAAGGAAGATTTTTCAAAGATGATATTAATAATTTCCTTTTCAAAAATAATGTTTCCTAATAAAGATACACCTACATTTTGCGATATAAGAATATATTTATTTTTGTCCAGGAATTCCCTTTCATGACATGTACATTTTAATACTTTGAATAAAGCACTTATTTTTGGCCTTATTTAAAAAAAAATAAAACACTGTTAGATTTCACGTGAGAACTGTGTTCTGTGGGCAGTACAATTACAATAAAAGTTGTGAACCAATTATTCAATAACCCCCCCCCCCTTCTCCTTTATGTTATCCCCCCCCCTTCTCCTCCATGTTATACATGCAAGCCTATTACCCCAATTAGTAAATATAGCCAAGTAAATCTAGGATTAATCAGATAGTTTACTACCATTTACAAATAAAAGAAACTCAGTTTATTTTATGTGTCCAAACACGCTTTTCTCCGACTTAAAATGAAAATCGGTCCAGAATTAACAAATATATATATATATATATATCCTTTAGAATTATATGCATGAAATCTACAGATTCTTATTCAATATATATATATATCCTTTAGAATTACATGCATAAAATCTACAGATTCTTATTGAATATATATATATCCTTTAGAATTATATGCATAAAATCTACAGATTCTTATTCAAAATATATATATCCTTTAGAATTATATGCATAAAATCTACAAATTCTTATTCAATATATATATATCCTTTAGAATTATATGCATAAAATCTACAAATTCTTATTATATATATATATTCTTTAGAATTATATGCATGAAATCTACAAATTCTTATTAGATATATATATATCATTTAGAATATATATGCATAAAATCTACAGATTCTTATTAAATATATATATATCCTTTAGAATTATATTCATAAAATCTACAGATTCTTATTAAATATATATATATTCTTTAGAATTATATGCATAAAATCTAAAAATTCTTATTTTGCATTTAATTGGGGAGTGGATGGTTTGTAATTGATTGAATACGTGGTTCGTCAGTATTAGTGAATTCTCACAGAATATTTTAAAAATCGTCAATCAATTTTGACCCAGCAAATTCAGATTTTTTGGTTGAATAAAGAATACTTGAGAACATTCTTTAAACATTGTAAAGAATTGTAGCTTTATTATCTCAAGATTAATATGAATATTAATGATGAAAAAACACTACTTTTCTGATTTTTTTACATCAAGAGAAAACTTTTAAAAAATTATTTATATCTACTAACATAAGAGGGCTTGTAATATCCATCAATCATGGTAACTCTAAATTAAAAGTCTACATTTCCATTTGTAAATATAACTTACTTTTTATACAAAGTACTCTTTGAGATTTTGTATCTCTATTTGAACCTTGAGAACCAGAGAATCCGTCCTTACATCTACACCGTCCTTCTTCATTCCTGTCCTATAACAATTAAAATTAAGTATTCTTGATCTTTATTCTTCATCTTTGATCCTTAACCAATGATCCTTTATTCTTTAACTTTGATCCTTAACCCAAGATCCTTTATTCTTCATCTTTGATCCTCAACGTACCCATGATCCTTTATTCTTTATCATTGATCCTTAACCTATGATCCATCATTCTTTATCTTTGATCTTTAACCCATGATCCTTCTTTTTATATCTATGATCCTTAACCCACGATCCTTAATGTATGATCCATCATTCTTTATCTTTGATCTTTAACCCATGATCCTTCTTTTTATATCTATGATCCTTAACCCACGATCCTTAATGCTTCACCTTTGATCCTTAACCAATGATCTATCATTCTTTATCTTTGATCCTTGTACCATGATCCTTCATTTTTTATCTTTGATGCTTAACACATGATCTTTCATTTTTTATCTTGATCCATAACCCATGATCCTTAATTCTTCATCTTTGATCCTTAACCAATGATCCTTCTTTCGTTATTTTTGATCCTTAACCCATACTCCTTTATTCGTTATCTATGATCCTAACACATGATCCTTCTTTCTTCTTTCATCTTTATATATACCAATATGAATATGTAAATTGAGTATACCTGTATACAGTAAGAATTGGAGTCTTTAAAGGAGCACTCTTCATGAAATGTACAAAGATCGCCGAGATTTAAACCTGAAAAGTTTCCAGCGTTAAGTATGTACACTGTACACTGTACACTGTACAGGGTTACCCGCAAAGGATGAGACTGTTTCCTTTTATTCCTGATGCCCTGACAATATAAACTTGTTTCTTTCTTTTCAAAATAATTATATACACCATTTAAAGCTTCCATTCCAGGAAGAAGATTTAATGAATTTGAGATCGTCATATTTCAAGATTAAAGTCGTCTTTAGTGTATCAACCCTTGTGGGCAACCCTATGCATAATTTTATTCCATAATAATTTAGTTTTCTATATTTGTTTAACCCATTTTAATGAAGAGCTATTGAGAAGAAAAAAGAATAACCGGAAAAATATTGGTAACGAAACCAACCAAAAGTTGCAGACATTACAACTTTTTAACTGCATTATTGTATTATAAAGTCTAAACTATATTTTCTTTTATTAACAACTAATGAAAACTGAAACTGAAAATTTAAAGCCTTCAAATTCCAGTAATATTTTACATCTTCACTAGACGGTACCTTGGCTACATCTAGTTCTTAGGTTAATGGGGAACTGAGTTGAGCATTCACATTCTGATATATTTAAGTTGCATTCTCCTCCAGGAATTATAGTACAAGGTCTCTCTTCGCTAGATAAATATATTATTAAAGTTGCATTTTCCTTCAGGAATTTTAGAACAAGGTCTTTCAACACTAGATCGACTAATATAATATTATAATTGCATTTTCCATTCTCCTTGAAACCATCCTGTTCAGTGTACTGTACACAGTACAAACCACAACTGATATGTATAAAAAAATTAACAATATACTGTTCAAGTTTTCAAATATGTTTATTATTGTCCATCTGTAAACAATAAACTGTTCAAGGTTTCAAATATGTTTATTATTGTCCATCTATAAACAATAAACTGTTCAAGTTTTAAGGTTTCAAATCATAGCACTTCACTTTTCAACGAAACCCGTTTTTTGCGATTTCAAATAACTCACGCATTTAAAAACTACGAAAATTTAGTTTGAAATTATAAACAAAATGTCAAGGATGACTTGCAAATTAATAAGGCTTACACAATCAGGTTGCGAAGATATATCGATGCGGATGAAATTGTGGCAAAGACTCAATTCCTTTGAACATTCTTTCTTACAATGTACAAAATGTTCGTAATTAAGAGATATTTTTTTTAAGTTTGTATTTTTACAGTGTCATCTGGTATACTATAAATAGAGAATAAAATTGGAATTCTTTACTTAAAACAAAATAAGTTTGTTTTAAAACTTGTTGACTTGAAACAAGAATGAATGGTTTGTATCAAATATGCAACATCTTATGTCCTGTAGATTTAAGGTGTAGGTTTTAAATGATAAAATTATTTTTTTAAATTGATTTTTTAAAGATAAAACTTTTCTTTGAAAAGTTGCGAAAGTGCATTCCATCTTTTATTTTAGAAAACATTTATTCTTGAGACAAAAACATAACAAATATATCTTCTAGAATCTCATAAAACCAAATATCTCGGAGAGTTATAAACAATAAATACCAAAAATAAACTTTGAATCTTAGAAATGATAATGGAAAATTTTATAAATAACAAACAATCTATTCAGAAATGCTATACAATTTACATAAAGCTGGGACAAATAAAAATTGGTATTAGATCATTCTTTGCTCTGTCTTTAAACTACAAATTGTTTTTATTTCACTTATGTTAGCATTAAAAGTATCATTTAAATAAGGAGAGAAAAGGGAGAGAGAAAAATGTGAATCTACAGACAGGTGGAACAGGGAGAGAGAAAAATGAGAACCTAAAGACAGGTGGAAAAGGGAGAGTAAAAAATGAGAATCTACAAGACAGGTGGAAAAGGGAGAGTAAAAAATGAGAATCTACAGACAGGTGGAAAAGGGAGAGTAAAAAATGAGAATCTACAGACAGGTGGAAAAGAGAGAGAAAAATGAGAACCTACAGACAGGTGGAAAAGGAAGAGAGACAAATGAGAATCTACAAACAGGTGGAAAAGGGAGAGAGAGAAATGAGAATCTACAGACAGGTGGAAAAGGGAGAGAAAAATGAGAATCTACAGACAGGTGGAAAAGGAAGAGAGAAAAATGAGAATCTACAGACAGGTGGAAAAGGGAGAGAGAGAAATGAGAATCTATAGACAGGTGGAAAAGGGAGAGAGAAATGAGAATCTACAGACAGGTGGAAAAGGGAGAGAGAAATGAGAATCTACAGACAGGTGGAAAAGGGAGAGAGAAAAATGAGAATCTACAGACAGGTGGAAAAGGGAGAGACAAAAATGAGAATCTAAAGACAGGTGGAAAAGGAAGAGAGAGAAATGAGAATCTACAGACAGGAGGAAAAGGAAAGTGAAAAATGAGAACCTACAGACAGGTGGAAAAGGGAGAGACAAAAATGAGAATCTAAAGACAGGTGGAAAAGGAAGAGAGAAAAATGAGAATCTACAGACAGGAGGAAAAGGAAAGTGAAAAATGAGAACCTACAGACAGGTGGAAAAGGGAGAGCAAAATGAGAACCTACAAACAAATGGAAATGGGAGAGAGAAAAATGTACCTGCAGGAGGAACCGATTGTTAATTCTGATATGTTTTCTAAATAAAAAAAGTTTTGATTTAATAGAATTTAGAAAATGCCGGGAAATATTTTGCATTATTATATTTTCTGTAAAAAGAGCAGACCTTTAATATTCAAAACTATTATAAATTCTGCAATAGTAAAAAGTAAAAGTTTAAAATATCAAAGTTTTTCACCATTAGTTTGCAAAGATATAGGGATTAGGAAATTAAAGTTTGTGGCAATGACTCAATTTCCATGATTTTATATTTAGAAAAATTTTGGAAATACTTTAGAATTTAATTGTCTTTAAAAACTATCACATGAGTTTGCGTAAAACGAATACTAAGAAATTGTGTATTTGTCACCAACCCTTATATTCTAGTATTTGCAACCCTTGGACCTTTCATCCGTAATCCATATGTTTTAAGTTATTATTCAAATAATTGAAAGCAATTAAATCTTATGAACATTTTGTAAACATTTGAGAACAAAATGTTAGATTTATCTAAAAATGTTATTTGGAATAACTTTGTGAGTTTTTGCCACAAACTCTGATTTTCTAATTCTTAAAACTTTAAAAAACCAATTGGCACAGACTCAATTCAAGTTTGTTATGGGTTCAATTGTGCGTGCATATATGCCAACAATGTCAATAAAATGAAAGCCTGCAAAAAAAAAATGAAAAAAAATTACCGTTTTTAGTGTCCTGAAGTAAGGAACCAGCACTGTTTAAAACTAAAGATACTATCACTGTATGTTTGAGCATTTTTTCTAAAAACATTTGAATAAAGTATGTTTTTAAAAGTCAGCTGTCCGCCTGCAAAGCATATTAATATGTTATTTTGCTGCTTCAGCAGTGCAGTAGGACGAATTATATTTTTCTTTAGAAGGTTTTCATGCAAAGACTTTATTTGACATTTTTATTTTCATATTAATTTTTATTCTCAAAATGATATGAGAATGCAAATGCAAATAAAATGCAATTTCACTTTTCATTTCCCAATCTAAAAAAAACCGGAATTAGTACCTCCATGATCATATTTTCTAATATCCATATTTTTGCAACCTGATGGTGCAAAAATTTTATATGTTTTTTGTTTGAAACTTTGTCTGTTTAATGTAGCAGAATTCATATTTGGAACTATCAAAGGTCTACAATATCATGTTGTAAAGATATAAGAATTTGCAAATTAGATTTTGTGAATATGAAAAATAATACTTCAAGGGGGTTATGTGTACTTGTCTTATTTCATTTTGAAATTTGAAACAAAGAAGAAGATAAAATATAAAATTAATTTCAATTTCATTTTCATTTCAATTAAAAAAATTAATTGGAAATAGCCTAAATTTTTTAGAGAAAATCCGGGAACCTGCAATCGAAATTTTATAGCACACCACTCCTTTATGCCGAGTCCATTAGCGCCTGATCCAATCAGGGTTTCAGTCATGTGTTTGGTGTCTATTCTGAACCAATAGAAATTGTATGGCGGTAACATCTATCTTTCTATCTATCTCATTATCCAATTAGAGATATGAATCCTTCAATCGGCACTATCAGTAAATGGAAATATTTACTTCTAATGAAACTGTGGTGACGAACTATAATGTACAGCTAATTTAACTTTATAGCACAATGATTACTTTTAGCACGTTCATTATGAAATTCACGATGAAGTGAGGAAGAATGATAAAGTAACTACCTCATGCACCTAAGTACTATATCTTTTATAATTGTAAAATTTTACTAAACAATTAAATTTACTTCATTATTGAAGAAAAGTTGGATTGTTCTTTAAACTTGAAAATTTAAAGAATACAGAATATGTATTGAATTTTAAATAATAAATATCTTCTTTCTAAAGAATTGAGTCTTTGCCACAAACTCAAACAGTAGAATTCCTATATTTTTGCAACGTGATGCCTTTGATATTTTACAATTAAAAGATTTACCTTCACAGAATTTATATGTTTGAAATATCTAAGGTCTACGAAAATGAATGGGTTGCAGAGATATAGAGAATAGAACATAAAATTTTGTCCCTGTTGACATTGATAGCTGGTCCTTGTTGAAACATACGAGCTGAGATCGTGCCTATATTGGTTTGGTATTGATAGTTACGAGCTTCAGATTAATATCAATAGCGTAAGAAATCGTGCCCATTGGATTGGCATTGATCGATTGTGAGCTTGTGTCCCTGTTGACATTGACAGCTGGTTCTTGTACGAGCTGAGATTGTGCCTATATTGATTTCGCATTGATAATTACGAGCTTCCGATTGATATTGATTGCTTACGAGATCGTGCCTATTGGTTTGGGATTGATCGATTATGAGCTTGTGTCCGTTTGACATTGATAGCCGAGCTTGTGTCCGTGTTGACATTGATAGTTGAGCTTGTGTCCGTGTGGACATTGATAGCCGAGCTTGTGTTCTTGTTGACATTGATAGCGGAGCTTGTGTCCGTGTTGGCATTGAGAGCTGAGCTTGTGTCCGTGTTGACATTGATAGCTGACGGGTTGTACCTGGGTTTGAGATCCCCTTATGGAATAGGGCATTTACTACAGCGGTTTCCAGTAGTTTTCTTTTAATTTTTATTGTAATTACTTCAACCCTTGTTTAAACCCCCTAGAGAGAGATATCTGCACCAATTCATATCTAACAATTGAGATGAGAGAATTAATTATTCATATTCCCTAGTCATGGATTCAAGAAGTTTTTTTTCTAATTCGTGGGCTTCCTTAAAATTTTCTTAATGTAGATCCAATGCTATTTTGGCCGTAAAATCCAATGGGCCCGATGAAATATTTTGATAAAAACAGATTTGTATTCCCATGCATTTCATTCAACTTATAAAATAAATTTTAGAGGTGGTCGTAACAACGAGGTCAAAATCGCTTCCGGGGAGGTGTGTGCAAATCAAAACTGAAAAGTCTGTGTTTGAAAGTTTCCACCTGATTAAAACTGACAAAGTTGAATGTACCTTTTCACCCTTTTCACAAAAACGTGTAATCATTGGGGGTAAAAAGAAGCTTTAAAAATTTGTTTAAATATGATAAACGTTCTGAGGAAAAGGCTGTAGAAAATATTTACTTGAAATATATTAAGTTGGAACTGTTTTTTACAGAATAAAAGACTGTGGATTTCCAATACTATAAACAAATATCTATTGAAAATATCTGAAAATACTTTTTTTAACAATTTTAGGAAAACATAAATAAAAATATTCTGGTAATTTAGAGACCATAAATCTTTTAACCTTTTAGTGAAACCTGAAACTGTTGTATCATTGTATGTAATGCTTTTTTTCTGGACAAAGGGACTGACCGGCTATGTCAGGTAGTTAAACTGAGTATGCAGTGTTGTGGACAAATTCTTTAGGATTTATTTGGGACATATAAAACGTTTCCACGATGTATAATTACTGCAAACCAATATAAAAGATGAGTTCAATTTTTACAAGATTAATGTTACGACTTTGTGACCTCGTAGCGCCTCTATATCTATTTTATTTATACACAAGTGTGAGATAATCAATTGTAAGATTTCAGTCTTACTTGCAATTTACTTTGGTTTCAGGTGCTAACCTTTTTGTAGCCTTGGCTGTAAAGATTTTAAAGGTGGAAAGCTTGCATGTTTAGCTTTATGTTAATTTACAATCCAAAATGTGCAAAATAATGCATGTTTAGTTTTGTTTCTTTTATAGGAGAAAGGGGGTACAACGGAGTAGGACATTTAGTTGACTATGAGAATAGGGAGGGTGTGGGGGGGGGTCAAATACAGCTGATTTAAGCAAGACTTGGCATTCATTCTTCAGGGAATGGAAGAATAGACAGTTATGTTGTGTGAAGATAGACAGATAGATAGATAGATAGAGAGATAGATAGATAGATAGATACTAGATGGACGAAGGGATAGATTGATGATTTGACAGATTAATGCATAGATATCTAGATATATATGTATATATGCTTTGCTTGTCTGCTGGTTTGTCAGTTTACTCAAGTATCCAATAAACGACAAAACGGCTTAACTGATCTAACACAATTTTTTGTGGCAACTCATATAACCCCGGGGATGGTTGCCTAAAAACGTCGACTTTCACGGTAAAATCTTAAAGGCTAAGATGTTGCGACACTTTAAAGTTGACGCAGTCTGGATAGATTGTATACAAAAAAACTATAATCGCACTAAGGTTAAGCTATACATACCAGAGATGGGTGACAATTTTGAAATTCCACGGGCAACGCAACTGTGCAACCTCGTAACGCCTTTAGTTTCGATTTTACGCATACGTGCAAGAAAAGCCTATTAATCCATGGTTAAATATGATAGAATTCAAAACAGTTCTGTTCTTCTCAATAACTCTTCAACGAGGGAAGGAAGCCCAACCACAACAGTTTCTCATCCGACCCACATTCTCCTCATTTTCTCGTACGAGACACCTCGATATCCTCGTTTTTTCAATACTCTTTTTTAAGAATCTAATCCTCCCAGATAAAACTATTTTTTTTAAGAATCGGGCCACGTTAGGACGTAAATGAAATATCGGATTTTTGTAAATCGAAAAAAAAATTCAAATGAATTAAAGTTGTTAAGTTTAATGTCTTTAAGAATGTTCACCTTTTGTACGCGCATTTTCAGATATTCCTGGTATAGAATGCGCAAATAATTCCGAATTTATAGAACTTCAATCTTTTTTGTTAACTATACTGAAAATCAAAGGAATGCCAAATATTTTGCTATTTATTTTGCATCGCTAAGGTTAGCCATTACAGAGGCGGAAGAGATTTTTACCCAAAAAAGTTTGACATCATTCTCATGGGTTTAAAGATTCCAACATGATGTATTAATCATTGCAATACTTTAGTCTATTCATATTTTGTGCCCTAACGTGGCCAGATTTGTAAAAAAAAAATAGTTTTATCTTCGAGAAATGAAAACTTTTAAACACTTAATAATCGAAGGACGAGGATTCCGAGGTGGCTCGGACGAGAAAATGAGGAGAATATGGCTCGGACAAAAAATGGTTGTGGCTGACCTTCCTCGCCTCCTTCAACTATAGGATTTGATTGTAAAGGAGTTATGATTTAGAAAATATTTTAATCTTACTTGACATTTAGTTTAGTTTAACGTGATGTACATGTAAAACATTAATATTATTATGTAAACCTCTGTTCATGTATGGCTCTTATCCAATTTTTGGAGAACTAGATATTTCTAAAGAATTTGGTTGGGAGAAGAGGGGAAAGAATAGAGGGAAACTATAAGTAAGAGCCAAGAAGGGATTATTTATCTAACTTTCTTCTGTCTGTGTAATATTTAATATTCATTTTATATATAAAGTCTTCCCCCCCCCGCACCCTCTATATTAGACCAAACTTTAGATTTGAAACGAGTTCCTGATTTAGAACGTGTTCCTGATTCCAGATTCCAGACCGTTATTGTCGTTCATTCCACGCTTGTTTATTTTTTATTTATGTTTTATTAATCGTTCCAATATTCGTACTTTTTTCGGAACGATGGCATTTTTCTTGATAATTCTGTTTGTTCCTGTGGAAGAATGATTGTTCCTCAGGAATGACGTCCAGCCCTAGTGCTAGTCTTATGTTGTTCGTGAAATTGAAAGCTTAAAAAATTGTAAGATTGTAAAATTGTAAGAATTTGAAATTGTAAGATTTTAGGATTATAAGATTTTAAGATTATAAGATTTTAAGATTGTAAGATTTTAAATTATGAATCGTTCCAATATTCGTTCTTTTTTAGGAACGATGGCCGGCATTGTTCT